GTCACAAAAACGTCGTTAATGCGTCGCAAAACATTTCGTTTGGTGGCAAAATAAGCCCGCCTAAAAAGTTTCGCGAAAAAGCCCAAAATTTGAGTTTGGAGCCAAAAAAGCGTGGTTATGTAGTCGCAAAAGCGACACTTATTTGTGTCGCTTTTGTGACTTTTTTGAGACGCCGAAAAATAATACCTAAACCCTTAACATTTATGACCAATAGATTGTGGTTTTATCCTTCCTATTCAACTTCTAATGTATTATTAACCATTTCATTGTTTATGTAGTTTGAAATCTCACATATCAAATTTAATTTAACAAAATCTAACACTTAACCACAAACTATATTAAACTTCTAAGTATTTTAGTTTTAGAAATGTGATCTTAATAATTGTAAACTGAATTTGAATTTGACCTTCAGTAAATTAAACTTTTAATGACTAATTTAGTTTATAACAATGTAATTACATACCAATAAATTGTATATACTTCAAATATGTTGTTAAATTTTCAAAATTCTTAGGCGGAGTTGGAAAAAAGTCACTAATGAGTCACTATTGTTCTTAGGTGTCACAGTTTAGTCGCACAAGCGTCACGTATTTGTGTCTCTTTTCTGACTTTTTTGCGACGTTTGAAAACAATACCCTAAACCCTTAGCATTTCTCTTCCATAAATTAAACCTTCTATGACTAATTTAGTGTATAACAATGTAATTACATACCAATAAATTGTATATACTTCAAATATGTTGTTAAATTTCAAAAATCCTTAGGCGGAATTGGAAAAGAGTCACTAATGAGTCACTATAGTTCTTAGGTGTCGCAGTTTAGTTGTAAAAACGTATCTCTTTTATGAATTTTTTGCGATACTTGAAAACAATACCCTAAACCCTAAATGTTTTGGACCAATAGATTATGGTTTTCTCCTTCCTATTCAACTTCTAATGTATTATTAACCATTTCATTGCTTATGTAGTTTGAAATCTCACATATGAAGTTTAATTTAACAAATTTTAATTTAACAAAATCTAACACTTAACCACAAACTATATTATAATTCTAAGTATTTTAGTTTTAGAAATGTGATCTCAATAATTGTAAACTGAATTTGAATTTGACCTTCAGTAAATTAAACTTTTTATGACTAATTTAGTTTATAACAATTTAATTACATACCAATAAATTGTATATACTTCAAATATGTTGTTAAATTTCTAAAATTCTTAGACGGAGTTGGAAAAGAGTCACTAATGAGTCACTATTGTTCTTAGGTGTCACAGTTTAGTCGCACAGGCGTCACGTATTTGTGTCTCTTTTGTGACTTTTTTGCGACGCTTGAAAACAATACCCTTAGCATTTCTCTTCCATAAATTAAACTTTTTATGACTAATTTAGTGTATAACAATGTAATTACATACCAATAAATTGTACATACTTCAAATATGTCGTTAAATTTTCAAAATTCTTAGGCGGAGTTGGAAAAGAGTCACTAATGAGTCACTGTTGTTCTTAGGTGTCGCAGTTTAGTCGCAAAAACGTCACGTATTCGTGTCTCTTTTATGACTTTTTTGCGACGCTTGAAAACAATACCCTAAACCCTAAGCATTTAGGACCAATAAATTGTGGTTTTCTCCTTCCTATTCAATTTCTAATGTATTATTAACCATTTCATTACTTATGTAGTTTGAAATCTCACATATCAAGTTTAATTTAACAAAATCTAACACTTAACCACAAACTATATTAAACTTATAAGTATTTTAGTTTTAGAAATATGATCTCATTAATTGTAAACTGAATTTGAATTTGACCTTCCATAAATTAAAATTTTAAGACTAATTTTGTGTATAACAATGTAATTACATACCAATAAATTGTATATACTTTAAATATGTTGTTAAATTTCCAAATTTCTTAGGCGGAGTTGGAAAATAGTCACTAATGAGTCGCAGTTTACTCGGAAAAGCGTCACTTATTTGTAACTACTTTGTCACTAGACGTATTGAAGGACAAAAAAGATTGTTCGGGCGACGGTTTGAATTGGAGTCTTCTAATGCTATTATTCAATGGGAAACCATTGGGCTATTGTAGCCAATCGTTTTTTTATCACAATATTTGTTATATATTTTGACAAAATTTATCTTTATTAATAAAAATTGTATTTATCCTACATTTTAGCTGAAAAAGAAAACAATTATTTTCCCTTGGATTCGAACTCAGATGGGAGAGTATAATGTTAGTGCGTTAAACCGTTTTGCTATTATAACGTATTCATTAAGTGCTAACAATAAAATGTATTTATCCCTAAAGTTAGCTGAAAACAAAAAAAATGTGTTCCTACCTGGATTCGAACTCAGGAACGAGAAGGTATGTATTCTAAATTCAGGAATGAGAACGTATGTATTCTAAATTTAAACCATTGTGCTATTGTAACGTATTTTTTAAGTGCTAATATTAAAATCTATTTATCCTTACATGGTAGCTGAAAACAAAAAAAATGTGTTGTTCCTTGGTATTGAACTCCACGTATTTCTAGGTTAAACCATTGTGCTATTGTAACATATTTAGAATACTATGCGAAAAATATATATTTATATTAGTATATGGCACAAAACACATTATTATGGTATATTAATATATGACACAACACACATTAATACACACTTAAAACATGAATACAAGATCCAAGACATATATTAAGAGATTTTGTTCATTTTTCATAGTTCACTTTTGTCTTTTTGTTGTCGACATGATATTTGTGACTCTTTTGTGACTCTTTCCTGGTAGGTCCTAATATGTGACTGATGTTGTCGTAATTAAACAGTCGCAAATGTATGACTCCTTTATGCTGTCGCAACGGAGTCACAACTTTGTGACTACTTTGCGACGCCATATAAAACTTTCAAACATAGTCGCAAAACAGTCGCTAATATGTGACTCCTGTACGACTATATTTATCGGTCACAAATATGCGACGGTTTTGCGACTGAATTTAGGGTAGTCACAAATCTATCAAAAAACAGTCTCTAATTAGTCGCAAATATTAGTGACTAACTTAGCAGTCACTAATTATCTGTTTTCTTGTAGTGTCCAA